GTCCTCACGTTTGAAAATCAACAAATCGTCAATCCATTAACAAAGGCTGTGAAACACGCACATTGTGCTGATGCTCGCAATGGCGTGGATATGTTTTTTTTGGTGTCCTACTCTGACGCAGAAACCCGTATTCATTTGAGTGCTTGTGTCCGGAAATAACTTTCAATTTTAAAATCAAGCTGCGTAGAGGTTAAGTCACGGGGAAAGCATTTCGTTACGCGGCGCAAAAAGGCAGAGTTGGTGCTCGTGCACGATGCACGTGAGTACGTGTGGAATTGGAAATTTAATTACTTCTTCCTGCGTAAAATACGATGGTGCTGGGCCACTGTTTCCTCTGAAACGAACTCCAAAGCTCAAAAAAGCTCTCAAGTTGAGGCCTTAAGAAGGGAATGTCCCTCGCTACCTTGAGAGTATACCTCTATATAAAGTAAAAGTCTCCGTGCGGAGATCCCAAGTAGCAGTGATGGCGATAAATGGCGATTTTATCGGTCGGTTATCTTGATTATATTGGTGGGAAATTCAGGGCCGGATTTACGTTTTTGGCGCCCCGTGCAGAAATTTTCGAGGCGCTCCCTCACACGTCCCCCCCCCCCCCCCGCGCATTTCNGCCCGCGCATTTCCCAACCCGACGGTCTTCTTTGGTTACTACGCACTAACTCTAACTAAATACGAATTTTTCGAGTGAGTGAATGATTCTGGGGCAGAAACCAAAACCAAGTACCTGTTCTTGTTACTGTTAACTACGAAACTAAGAGAAAGTCTGACCCTTAAAGTCTAGGGTCAGGTCATTTAAAAGATGGAACGCAATAAATTAATGGTTCTCTGACGTAATTTTGCAGAAGAAAATTCTGGTGGGACAAAAATAGGCATTTCATATGCATGCACAGGCACATATGGAGTAATAACATGTAATATGTGCATTGTTAATGTTGTTTAGTTAATAACTTGAGAGATAGTCAGATAGTGTGTCTCCATGGCCTTTATACAATCAATCAACAATCAGAGTTTCTGAACTTTCGACGCAATTCTCAATTTTTTGCAGAGTTTGGAAAAAAACCCAAAATTTGGCGCTCCTCAAAATCTGGCGCCCTGTGCAGCTGCACCGATGCACCATAGGTAAATCCGGCCCTGGTGGGAATATATTGAGATATTATAGCAGTAAAAATTGCGATATATGGCGATTAAATTACTATATAATCGTTACACAATTTTTGGTTAAATAGCCATTTATCGCAATTTTTATTTCGAAAATATCGCGATGAACTGTCAGGCGATAAAAAGCACAATTTTATCGCGGTAAGATCGAGGATAATCGCTCAGATGTTGGTGACCCTGGCGATTTTATCGCCGATAAAATCGCAATATTTAACGATTTTTCTGTCGAAAAATGCTACGTATAGGATAGTGAGAAAATCGGAGACAAGAGACCCTCCACTGGTATCTTGGCCATGGTGGGAGCCTCTAATTTCGGGACGTCAGCATTCTACTTTTGACTTATTAGAAGCAAAACAAGTGAAACAAGGCTGAAATACATAAAAATACCCGGGACGTTTCGGTGTCTCACGACACCATTATCAACCGCTAAAAAAGTACGAAAATAAAAAAGAAATAAAAATCAAAAGAGACCGGCACGGCGTTACATGGTATTGGTTTCACTATTCCCGTTGTGGGCTGCCTGGGTATCTTCATCTCTGTTGACTTACTCCCTACATGACTGATGTTTAACAACGTGTTGGTAGTTTCGTTTTGCAATCAAGCCGAAAATGGCCGAAGTTTGGGAAACTTGTTTGGCTTATGGCCTTACCCGAAGCTCATTATCCACCATGTTGGTATATGTTTAAGGTTTACATACCATAGCATATCTCGGGCAAAATTAACCTTAAATTTATCTCGGGATTCAAAAACAAGAGGCATCTAGTGTAAACGAGATACAACTATTCGCGCAAGATGGAAAATGTAAGGCGCAATGGCGTGAGTTGTGAAGTAGGGATGTTCTGCTCTTTGCTACCAGTTTGAGGCATCGTATTCCGAATAAGACAAACGGAAACATACAGAGTATGGAAATAGAGGGAGGGAAAGGATGCGCTTTTACGACGGCGCAGAGATACAACTACTCGTACTTGATGGACGTCCGTGCTGCATCTGAAAAATGAAGGCGCGATGACGCGAAGCGTGAACTCTCTGCTATATGCTGTCAATGAGGTGTCGCACATTGTCAGATTCGGGAGAAAAGTTGAAAAAGAGGCCCGAATACATCTTCCCTATCTTCGGCTCTGTTACTCACTTGGTGCTTGAGGCACCATTACGAATAAGACAAACGGAAACATACACAGTATGGAAATAGAGGGAGGGAAAGGATGCGAAAAGAAGGGAAAGGACATTTTTATTTTGAAATCTTTGGAGTTTATTTAGATGTTTATGAGGTGTTGAGAAATTGTGTTTTTGTAAAATCTGTAAACGAATACTTTTTGACAGTTAATGGCAAGAATGGCATTGAATAATGTTTGAATAGTCCTAATTTCAGAATCACCAGGCCGGTTCTTCGATGAGAAATACCTAAATTATAAAACAAGAGAACGAAGTGACTACTTAATTAGTCCGTGAGGACAAAATGGCTCTCCTGTACGCAGTTGTATACTTTCGCACTTTATCCTAAAATGAATCCAGTTTTCAATGATAAGTTGCTCTCTGCCTCTGTGCCTTCTCTTAACCTCATTTTCATCAATTGATAGTATAGAAATTGGTGGGTTCTTGTTTGAAACAGTGAAATATGGTCCGAAATTTCAAAACGGGGTTTTTGAGTCATGTGTTTTCAAAATGAAGACATTGTTACCCTTGTCATTGGGCGATTATAGTTAATAGAGATGCAGGTAGGACTTCTTATAATAATGATGTACTTTTAGGGTTCTAACTCTTCAGTCAGTAGCTAGGAAGTATAGCTGTTTAGAAACGCACTTCCCCCCAGTTAGGCGTTGCAGGCACAGTGCTATTCTAGAAAAACAATGCGCTATACAGATCCTCAATGGAAAGACGAATTTATCTGATCGCCACCTACAGGCGGCCTGTATTTCCCTGGCTGTTTTTTCTGTCAGGGTCCTTATGGTGGAAAGAAAGTTCAAACTGAATTTATGATGCTTTCCTCAAAATTGAAATTCGGGAGCAAATTTTTCTCAGATTATGCATTAAAGACTTTCACTTGAAATCATTAATACCTCAATTTCCCCAAAAACTGCACTTATGCGCCTTGTCCTCCAAGCCCCTCATTTTATAATTTAGTTCCCGTAATTACCAAACTTTTAAACTAATGGGAAAAAAAGAGAAAAACGTGTATTTAAAGCAAAAATGGCCAACTGAGGAAAGGAGCTTTTTAAGGAACGATCATGAATGAAAAGTTGAAAATTGAAATGTTGTTAGGGGTGTGAGGCTCCGTATCTACGGGTTCTTGACTTTTTTTCATCGCGCTTCGACCACCAAATCAGGCGTGTCAAAAATACTGCCATTTTCTCATTGTCCGTTAAGTTATATAAATTTTTAAGTGACACGAATGCCTGCCAATCTTACCAACATATTACGCATACTGCCGTGTTACGGCAAAAAAACCGTAAGTGCATTTTTGGGCGAGCCAAGGTTAGCACAATCTTACTCCCCAGTTCTTGCTACCCTTTTGCTTTGCATAAGCTTTTCAATTTTTTTTTTTTTTTTTTTTTTTTTTTTTTTTTTTTTTTTTTTTATCTTCATGCCGGCAACGCTGCCACAGGCCCTCGAGCCTACGACTGAGGATGATCCGAAGTAAAATTCTTAACTGAGAAGTGACAAAATCCATTGATTTCACTATCAATCCTAACTCCTCATATTTTTTAAACAAAAATCCGTAGATTCGGCAAAAAACGACATTTTTATCGAAGATTCACGATGTCATTCGATTAATCAATAATTTTTTGCAGAGTCGAAGCGAAAATTGAGAGTGAATGAGCTGTTTTTTCCTTAATTTTACCTTGGCAGGGTGGATCAGAAGAATTTCTGGAAGATCCCTAAAAATGCTGGAAAATCCCCAGATCTGTAGGGATAAATTCCTAGCCTTTGGATCACTAGCGATCAATATCAGACTCTAGGATCTTTCTATGCTTATTTTTGCGTAAATGAAGATAGTGCACAAATAATAAGCAATGCAGTCCAGCTTTACCCGTTCGTTTTTAATTTACTCCTACCCAAGATGTCAAATGGTTAACTCCTCAGCGATGAGCTTGCCCGCTACATAGCCACCTTACACGGCTCCTCAATTCAAAGAAGAGTCGATGATTGTTAACCCAATTCTTCTGAAATATTCTCGGGAATTTCAGAAATTTATGAAATACAAGAAATTTGTAATTGAGGATTGAGTAAGTGTTAAAGATCTAGCATTTAAGTGCGGGTTGCATACCTAAGCCCCTGAGAAATACGTCTCAAAAAAGGTAATTGATTTCACTAGTTTCACGGTTGATGGTCATTTGCACAAATTGTACGATGCGGCAACACAGCATGTTAGATGATTGAAAAATGTCAACTTTTTCCAACAGAGGGGCCCTTGCGGTAAAAAAAACATCTTCAAGTGCCTGTGAAAAATTTCAGCACCATTTGATGTCACTTCAGCGTTAGCATTTTCTACCAAAAATAAATAATTATGAATGTTCGTGCAAATGACCTGCTACGAGTTTCACAGGCCCATGAAATTTTCAATGTTTTATATTTTGTTTTGCATTTCAATCCACCCTGTACCAGATCTTTTGTGAAATCGGGCTGTGGCAAGATGAGTGGAGTGCGCATTAACATCCTGGGAATCGGAAAACCTTAGTCAGAGACAAAACGGTCAAAAACATTCCCCTGTCTGAGCTAGTCTGAGCCACGCGCGGTCAATGACCGCGCAGTGCGTTTACATAGTTTCTCCACTAGGTAGCGCTAATGCACCAGCGGAGTTTGTTTGACTCTTTTGACTGTTTGCTGTCTTGTTCTCTTCTCTTGTTTACTTATGTGCAGCGAGTCATCAGTCATCGTTATTCTAGTTTATTCTTTCAATTTGAAGTTTGAACATCATAGACTCTTAATACTCCACCGTGAACAGCGTGTCGTTTGGAAATAATCTTCAAGTTAAACTATTAACTAGCTGTGCTTAACATCTTGGATTGCAGTCGCTGGTATATGTCATCATTTTTCTCAGAAACAGTGACGCCAGGTTTCTTTCTCTTATTAATATTTTATTGAACTTTTAGTTTTGATAAGTTCCCTTCGAGTTCTGTATGTGCACTTTTATTCGTGCAAGTATGTAAAGCACTTCGTGTTTATTAGTCGCTTCCCCGAATCACCCAATGCCATCACTTGCCTAACCTCCAAATTCTCAAAAGTTGTAAGGGGCTATTACCTATAATCCCTTTCAGATATCTTATTTTCAGTTTTGGCTATGTGTGTGAAGTACGTAGTTCTGTATTCCATGCATGCAGCGAAAGAGGAAAAGTTATCTGAAGCGTGCTCCACCACAATGTATTTGCGATCACCTGATCAAATCGTTGAGACAGTGCCAAACAAGTTTTTGCAATTTTAGAGTGAGACAAAGGATCGACTGTCTTAGGAATTAGACCATAGCAGAAATCGTAAGTCGTTAAATGGCCCTAGGTATTTCATGGCCAAAATTCAGAACTTAGCAAGGCTTCTTCTTCGTCCCAGTTCCATCATTGTCAATTCAGAAAGTCTACAGTTTATAGCCATGAGGTGAAGTGAATCATCCAAGTAAAAGTTCCTTAATCTTGCTCTGTCACTCAGTTCCTCCACTTCATGTCTACTCCTGCAAAAATGCTTCTCTGCTAGGTATAGTTGGTAATCAGATTCTATGAAAGCCTCAGAGTATCTATCACGTGGAACTTCCCTCACAGATGAACTTAGTTTTGATGCAGACTGTAGAGCTTTAGAATCGCAGAGGTTGTCCGTATCTGATTAAAGTTAGGTGAAATCATCAGGATAGATCCTCTGCAATGAAAAGAGTACCCTCTTGTAACTGATTCTGGTCTAATCCGACAAAAAAACCGCGTGAGACATTTGGCTTTTCACTCATCTGGTAACGATGATATGTCGCTTATTTTTCAGAATAGGTATCCTGTCTTCAGTAATGCAGTGAGTTAATAATTCATATGTATTTGCTAAGAGACTCCTCGCTGAAATGCATCTTTCTATCAAGTATAGTCAAGATACAGGCTTGTACTCATATGTACAATTTGATAATGAAAATTTTACCAATTGCTGACAAAATTAGAAAATGTGCTTGCGTAGTGTATTCTAAATCAAGAAGAACTGAATCACTAAATACAAAAAGGGTACGTGTCCAGAAAACCAAATTGTTCAGGAGACACAAAAATCTGTTTATTTCGTGGTAGATATTTTTTTGAATGTCGTTATGTTTAAAAAATATCTACCACGAAATAAACAGTTTTTTGTGTCTCCTGAACAATTTGGTTTTCTGGACATGTGCCCTTTTTGTATCTAGTGATTCAACTGTAGCGTTAAACAATGTACCTATTTAGAGGTGTTGTCAACTAAGTTGGCACTTGATAGCATTCCACTTACAAGCAATTGCAATGCAGCCGTTTAACAGGGATCTAGGATTAAGCATGCTCACGATCGGGCCGTAGGCAAGACTAAAGTTTATGAAAACATTTGCTGGTAATTTCGGCTGGCGACCCTTGCCATCATCAACCACTAAAATAAATACAAAATTTAAAAATAAGGCTAAAAAACGAGTGCATTATAAACCGTGTGATCAGCCCTGACAAAAATTAGGACTGATAAGATGTAAACAACTGTGAGTACATAATCAATGTACATTACATAGTTGTTTACATGTTATCAGTCCTAATTTTTGTCGGGGTTGATCACACGGTTGGTAATGTAGTTGTTTTTTTAGCCTTATTTTTTTAATTTTGTATTTATTTTTGGTTGATAACGATGGGTCATCAGCCGAAATGTCTTGCAAATGTTATCATAAATTTTAGCCTTGTTTCCCACTGTTTTTATTGTGTTATACTAGATTTACAATATTAATACAAATAATATTACAAGTACCACCGACACAGTGTACTCTACAATATTTCATATCTTGATCATGAAAGTAAAAAATAGCAATCTTTCAATGAATGATGTCCCTCAGTTTTTTACTTCACAAATTGTGACTTGAAGTTTTGTAACCTTACCAATTGGAAATATATATTTATAGTTCCATCATTGCTGTATTTAATGCCTGATTTTTTGTCTTTTTCTGTCCATAGGCTTCCTCAATTCTTCAACCATTTTCGAACGAATAGAACCAAAAGAAAATGGCAAACTCCACTTCTGACCCTGTTTTGGAGACAAACGTCATTGATGACAACTCTGAAGACTGGCGTAAAGCTTGCCTCCTGGACAGAAATGAATTTGCCTTCAAGAACAATCTATTAACTGATGTTTGTTTCATTGTTGGGGAAGGAAAACGAAAAATCCCTGCTAACAAAATCATTCTCTCACTAGGAAGCCCAGTTTTTGCAGCCATGCTGAGTGAACGGTGGTTGTCGCCTGCAAGTGAAATTGAAGTACCAGATATAGAGCCAGAGGCTTTTTATGAACTGCTCCGGTAAATTTTATTTTTTTTTGTTTGCTCATTAAATTTTGCTCCTTCTTTATCTTACAGCTTATAAAAAAGAAATTATTAATTTGTCACTACTTAAGGGTCAATCGCAACGAGAAACAACTTAATCAGCCAAAATACACATAATAAAAGAACAACTTAATTTGAGGAAAAGGCTGCAAATAAAGATCAAAGAATAAAGAAAACCCGGAACGTTTCAAAATAAGTACAATTTCATTTTCAACCGGAAAATAAATTAAAAACAAAAACGAGCCGTCGCTACGCTGTTATTGCGAGACCGAGACACTAGGCATCTCTCTGGGTCTCGGACTCGCAATAACTGGCCTGCTTGCCATCTCAAAGTAGACGCACAAAATCAGTTATGCCCTTTTACAAGGGCAACAAGTTTCTCAGAGGTTATGAAAAAAAATTTGTCGGATCCAGCCCTGGAGAACAGAACTTTGCAGTAGCACTTTAATAATCAACATTTTTCTCTCATCACTCTAATCATACATAATTAGTCATACATAATTTTTACTTCATCTACTGTTTTTTATGAAATGTACACAATTTTATTTGTTATTTGTTGCAGATTCATTTATTGTGAGAAAGTTAAATTTCATTCGAGTTCTCCTGATGCACATTCCATTTTATATGCAGCAAAAAAGTATGATGTAGAAGCATTAAAAAATAAGTGTGTCGAATTTCTCAGTAGCACCCTCTCAAATTCAAATGTTTGTTTTCGATTAATGAAAGTAAGGAAATCAATTATGCAGCATTTTAAATTATAAGTAAATCAGTATTTGAGCCTTAGATTTAAATTTCCTTCACTCATTAAAAACCAATCACTTAAATCTGCAAGGAAACCTTTTGACAAGTTTTCCTTGAAGAAAATAAAATGTAATCTGAGTTTTTTAAACATCGCAATTGAGATATGCATTTTCTGCACTGAGCTATCACCAAGCATTTTTGCTCTTGAGCTAAGGGTTAAGAAGAGAGTAGTAAGTACTTAGAAGAAGAGGAGGGTAGAAATTATGGCAAAAAAATGTAAGTCCCTCGTAAAAGCTATAAGATGTCCAACAATAAGTAAAACGTCCTTGACCTGAAATCCATTTGAAAGTGCCTCAATGAATGACTTATCAGTGCCCTATATGGAATTTTCATGTTTTCAGAAGCATTTGAGTAAATTTCAAGTCGCACAATTTTCAAGGCACTCAACTATATTTCAAGTCTTAAGCTGTTACAAATCAAATTTTGATAGAGAATCCAGGACGAGTTTACAACAGACTTGACATTTGCACAAGTGACTACTTCATCATCTTATTCATGTCTTATTAAAGTAATTGAAGGAGATAAACTAACTGATCCGCTTGATTAAAAGTACCGCTAGGCAAGGTACAAATTTAAGCATTCTAATATGTGTTTTCTTTTTAAAACCTTCTGTAGAACAAGATTAGCACTCTAAAAATTACTAAAATTAACGTCTACCCAAGATTTAAATGCATTTTCCATTACTGGTGATGAAAAATTTGAAATTCCTAGTCACAAGAAAAACCAGAGTTTACGTTAATGGAACTGCGCTCTACAGCGGTATTAACGGGCTTCTCCACCTTAAGCTGTTGAAAGTGTAAATGATTTGCAACAGCTGAGCCAAAGCGCTGAGATTGATGTTGTTATATTTTCACACTGTTGAGACTGTTAAGGTAGCGCTTGGCGCGTGTTTTAACTCAAGTAGGTAGATAAAGCTTTATCTTATGAGCAAGAAATTTCTAAATTCATACATTTATTTTTTAATATCTTTAATTTTCTCTGTAATAATACAGAGGCCTAGAAAAACTTTCTTCCATTTTAAATTATTATATTTATACTTAAAAAAATGATGACATTGAAGTCAGGAGTTACTTTTAATAATATTTGTTGCACAAATTGTGTTATTTTTGAAGATTTAATGAGAAAGCATAAATCATAATGCTTAAATTCGCACCTAGTCTAGTGGTTCATTCAGTAATGTAAATCAGTCAATTGTATCTTTTATCATTTTTGCAACCTATCTAGTGCCTCTTTTAATTTTATCAGTATACTTAAATCTCTTCTTTTTTTTTTTTTAGGCAAGGTATTTGCAAGAGTCAGAACTGATCGACTTATGTTGTAAAACATTATCTAAGACCGCTTCCACTGCTATTTCTCGGTACTACACCACCACTTCCACCACCAGCCATGAAGAAAGCTTTCATGCTGTTGACATAGAAACGATATGCTTCATTTTGGAAATGGATCAATTAAATATTGAAGAGGTCGATCTATACAAAGCAATTCTCAGGTCTGTGTCTTCAATACTGAATAATTACTTGTAATTCGCTGACATATCTTGGCGAACATTTTTAAGAGGCTTTGTTTCAGAAATCTTATTATGAATTTTCTGTAGGTTGTACTTTCATTTACTTTTTCGGCACACATTTTGTATGACTTCAACTTTTTCTTGCCAATTTTTCACCTGTTAATACTTACTTCTGAAGTAATTATGGCTGTTCTAGGCGTAATCGCTAAAAGATCAGGAGGTGCTGAAACGGCTTTTACAGCATGCCTTGGCGCTCTGTGACACCTAGTTGCCATCCCTGTCTAATGAAACAGAAGTTATTTGATAAATTGCACCTTGTAATTTCATTTTGAATGCCACCTATTCCCAATTTTGCTGGGCGTCCCCTTCTTTTCCTTCCGGGAGGAACCCAATCTAGTACCATCTTAGGCAACCTATTGTATGCCATTCTATGAACATGACCACACCAAACAAGCTATTCAATCATAATTTCACGGACTATTTTCTGCTTGGTGGTCATTATCTCACGCACTTAGCTCTTTCGTTTTTCTCATTATCTTGTCACTTTCTGCCCCAAGTATCACAAGCGCATTTTTACTGAAATTGAGTTATGAATAGTTTTGAAATTAGGTACGAGATGCATTTACATTCGAAAATAATTATTTTTTTTTTTAGAAGAAAAATTTAGAAATATGAATAAAAATCGGTTAAAGTTTTTAGAAGAAAAATTTAGAAATATGAATAAAAATCGGTTAAAGTTTTTAGAAGAAAAATTTAGAAATATGAATAAAAATCGGTTAAAGTTAATGTACTTTCCTATCCAAGCGCCAAGTTAGGCAACCGCCTACCTTTCTGATAGTTTGCAATTTGTGTTACAGCAACCCTCGGAATGACTTAAAGCTAAATTAATTTCGTATGTAGATGCATTTTGTTATTTCGAACATAATATTTTTTCTAGAGTAAAACTAAATAAATACGGAAAATTCTCTGTTGAAGTCTATGAACTTTTGTATCACAAGCGCTGTATAAGAACAAAGTATCACAAGCGCCTAGTCGCTCATCTTTGAAATTGTTTTTAAAATTTTAGTATCAAGTACACTCAGGATGACCTGGAGCAATTCGTCACTTCCCGAGTTTTCGGCCGGAGTATCACAAACGCTTTTTGTACTGAAATCGAGTTGTGGGTGGTTTTAAATTAATAAGATGCATTTACATTTGAAAATAATAATTTTCTCTAGATTAAAAATAAATTAATATGGAAAAAACTCCGTTAAATTTGATGAGCACCCGTATCACGAGCACCATGGTCTCTCAGAATGCCCCAAGAATGCGTTCCCACAAGCCCCAATTTTGAAAGAAATTTTATTAAAATTCAAGGCAGGAAGTTGTACTGGATCAGTATCCCAAGTTTCAAGCCGAAATCCTGTCTAAAGCGGCCGCAAATCAGTTTTTGTGTCTCCTGAAAAGTTAGCAAAAGGCGCTTGTTATACTTTGGCCGAAATGTGACGACCTCTTCTTGAGATTTCAGCTGATCTTCCCTGTAAATCCATTTTTGTTGCCTCAAGAATCTTCTGGTTGTGATCTTTCATGGGTCATACTTCTCTGTCATAGGTCAGAATGCTTTTAATTATGGTATCATAAATCAATCTCTTCTCCTCTTTGGAAATACTTTGATCCCAAAAAATATTTTTTATGACATAGCAGTAGCTCTTCTCCCCTGAAGGATTTGATCTTTCATGGCTTGGTCCATCGGTCCATCCTGGGATAAGTGAATTCCTAGATATTTCGACGGTGAAAGTCGGCAATCACGTAACTCGTTTGCGGTGTCTGAAAATCTCCGCCTCTACGTCATTTTTTTAAAGGAGAACAAATTGATATTATTTCTTGAAGTTTTTGCAGAATTTTCTTCGCATTGAGAAGAAAAATCATGACAGTTTTAAAGAATTGCCGTTGAGTAGGTTTCCATTTAAAAAATAAAGTATGACAGGAAGTCTGCGACGTCGCAAACCGAGTTATGTTATTGCCGACTTTCACCGTCGATTTGCTATTTTTGCAGCTTTTCATCCACTAACCATCTTCCAGCTTTACATCTTGCTGCTCAGCTTCGTCAATTTTTCAGTTTTTCTGAAACTGACCTCTAGGCCCCACCTTGTATATTCTAGCACTAACTTCTAAGTCGCATGTATTCAGCATCATTTGCATCTTGCGCCATCACCACCGGATCGTCAGCAAAACATAGAGTAAAGAACATGTCTTTATCACCTAGGGGAGCACTCATACCAGAGCATTTCTTTTTCTACTCTTCTAAAAGAAGCTCTAAAAAGATCTTCTTTAATTTAGGTAACAGCTAGACAATAACAGAAACATAAAAACCTTCGGTCAACCCTTCTGGACCTTGAATTCTGGTAAAACCTCCATAGTAAAACTGCTTAATTGCATTCACAAGTCCTTTACTAAAATTCGATTCTTCCAGTACTTCACTAATGGCACTCCACATCATACGCTTTCTGAAGATCAACCAAAAATAAATGGAGCTACTACCCTAAGGCCATTTTTCATGTATCATCTGTGCGACACGAAACAAATTATCAAAGTAATGGTATAAATAGTGGAATAAATAGATCTACTGAATCTGAATGATGTTTGCTTCTTTGGTTCACATGGAGCGCACTTATATTGGATTGCATTTTGCAGAAAGGAACCAATAGCATCCATTGTCGCTAAGATTGTGCAACTTTTTTTACCTTGGAAATATACACTGATCCTCTAAGCAAGTTGTATCTTTACTCCCAATAAACAGTAAATTTAAGACAAAATTACCTTGGTTGATTTAATTTTTTGCATGATTTCAGTAAGTCTAATGCAAAGAATGCAAATTGCGCAATCCTAGCAACATTGGAATGATCTTGGTTCCTTTTTTCAATATGCAATCCATTTGATCTTAGCTTTCAGAACTTCCTTGTAAACTAGCAATACGGTAGAAAACCTCCTGCAGTTCTTGCAGTCATTCTTGGAAAATGGGCCTTTGAAAAATCGGCAAGATTTCCTCGGCAAGATTTCCTCCCTCCCCTTCAGAATTTTCGGATTGTTTTTTTTTTTCTTTGCAACCCTGTTTCAGATGTCTATTTTACTTTGAAGAAATTGCATTCATCGTGTGTCTGTGCCACTGCACAGGGGCCTGTGATCTCCCCAAAAATTACAGATGAAGTTCGAATGAAACTTTTTGAATATTCAAGCAAAGTGCTTCATATTTGTGTGGATTCAAATCCTCAATACTAAAAAATAGTTAAATAAATTGAGGGGCTTAGAGAACAAGGCGCAAAAGTGCAATTTTCGAAAAAATTGAGAGATTGGTGAGATCAACTAAATCTAGGATTCAAATAAATTCTCCGAAAAATTCACCGGTAAAATCCATTTTTTAAGCATAAATATGTGAGTTTGAACTTTTTTTCTACCATAGGCTTCATATAATTTAGAAACTTGAAACCTGTTTTCCTCGAAACAGCAAAAACTGCTTTTATGCATCTTGTCCTCCAAGCCCCTCAATTAAGCATTCATTCATTATTATTGTTGAGACTCATTTTTCCAAGGTTTCAAAATACGAATAAAACTTTTTTATTACAGCTGGGCAGATTTTGAATGTGATAGGCAAAATTTGGAAGGGAACAAAGAGAACATCAAGCTAGTCCTGAAACAAGCTTTGCCATTGATTCGGTTCCGATTGATGTCTCCTCAAGAATTTTCTGAAGTTGTCTCTGGAACAGGCATTCTCTCCATAGAAGAGGAACTATCAATTTTTAAGTACTTGTCCTCCAAACCTAGACCCGAAAATCTCAGACCAACCCCTCGCTTTGAAAAATTGTAAGTACGTTTTAAAGGGATCGTCAATCTAAAAAATAAGTTAAGCTTTATCAAAAGTTCAATCTTAGCTGTAAGCTGTAAATAAATACTGTCAATATCTTAGTTATGAGTTGATTTCAGTAATTTTTGTTGCACCAATCGTGTTCTACATGAAATTCGGGCTAAAAAACATGTATCAGAATTCTTACGTTTGCACTTTGTCTTTGTACACCCCCTACCCCCTGCCATTTACCATCCTGTTATTTGCTGTTTTTCATAAGTCTTGAAACTTTAGATAGAAGCTAGGGTGACAAAAATTCCCGGGAAAAGAAGGGGGAAAAATAATGAGAGACTCCTTGTAAACGAGAGTAATCAAAGTACAAGGATTGTCTTGACAAACCAAGTTCTGTATTTCTTACTCACTAACTTTTCTCAGAACAACATTCGAAAGGTAAAAATTTCAGATCTCTAACAGTGTGCTGTTATTTTTTCATTTCGTTGCATTTGGGCAATGAGGAATCAAATTTAACTGAAGGCTGAAGTATTTCTCTGTTTTTTGAGTAGGTTTGACGAATTCCTAATCGCTACTATTAACTCGCCCTTAATTTAAAGAGAAATGTATTGTTAAGGAGGTGAATGTATAATCTTTCTTGAAGTACTTTTCTCCTCTGTTTCTTCAATAAAAAAAAATATGAGACATAAGTTAAAGGGAACTTATCATGAGCGTATCATCCAAGCTGGTAGGAAATTTCTTGATGTAACGGCAATCAATTTGAGTTTGTACGAGTATGCGGCCAGTTGGCTCAAACTCGAAAACAAGCAGATTGAAGTTCATAAAGGTATAATTGGATTTCCTCTAGCAATACCTAATAATTTTTGCCGAAGAAAATGAAAACCTTATGTACTTACATATCGCATAATTTTTGAGAAAGAAAAACCATGAGTTGATTTATTAGTGGAGGAGATCGAGAAACGGCTTACATTTTTTGGCTAAGGACCCAGAATTTGTATCCTCCTAAAAGATTCTGAATAAATCAAAAAGGTGCATTCTTTCTTCTTTAACTTTCCTTCAATTGAGCGTTGACAAATCAATTTATTAGCACTATTCTCTATTCGTGGTAGGCTTAAAATTATAGTATGTTTGAATTGTCTTTTCATTGTTTTACAGAATCAGTATCACCGCCTGTGATGAGGTTACTAAAAAAATTCTCCATATGCAAACAAGCCCTTCAACGAGTGTTTCAAAACTGCAGAGTGGAATATTTCAGCATGTAAACATTAATGATCGTTTTACCTCAAGTAAATTCGTTTTTTTGTATCATGAAAATATTTTACTAAATGAAGCATATTTGTTATCAGATTATGCAATTGATAACAAGTCAGTAATTACAATAGGCTAGTGGAAAGCCATTTTTAATCCAGAGTGTGATAGAATTGGTCCATGGAAAAAATTCATACTGTCGTTTCTGAACTGAAAGTCCATCAGGCAATTCTTATCTTGTCATTTACTTTTTTCCTTTCGGGAGGGGGGGGGGATTTTTCTGCAATCAAATTTTGCCAATTTAATAGAAGGAACTAATTATTTCTGAAAAATTTTGATGTTCTTTGATGAGTTGTTCCTTACAATCTCCTGGGGGATGAGCTCTTGAAATATACATCTCTACGGGCCAATGGTGAAAAAATAGGGCTATTAAGTGATGACTTTGATGTCTCTATTGTAATCAGGAAAAACTTGATGAGTGTAAGCTGTTTTATTGTAAATGATGATCGATTTTGTATTTTAAAATCATGTAGTAGCATCTACCAAATGTTTTTCTTCAAATATTTAACACAGCTACAACATCTGCGAATACATTCTTTTGTCTATTTCATAACTATCAAATCATTCAATGGAACCATAATTTGCCTACAAGGGATAGCCGAAGATCCAGTACCTACAACAGAGCTCATTAGTCAATTCTAAGTTCAACTTTAAATCTTTCCTCTTGAGTTACTTAATTTTAGCTGAAGCTCACATGCAGTTGATTCTTTGGCCTTATTAAGTGGACGTCAAGGTAGCAAAACGCATTTATTTATGAGGATAATGTGGTGGAATGGCGTTTGTGCTGAAGCCCTATACTTAATTTGTTTTCCAAATTTCCTCTGAAGATGGGTCTTTTCTGTGAATGACGTAAACTTCGATCTATTTGAGATTCGATCGAAGCAGTCTCTTCTTTCACTGTTCGCTAATTTATTTTTCCTCTTTTTTTTCACCCATTTTTTGTACTGAAGCATCCTGATCTTTTTTTTTTACTTAGTAAATTCGATATTTTTTATATTTTAGATAGACTTCAAAAAAGCTATTAAGTTGTTTTTTACTGTGTATCTGTAAGCAATAAAAACTGAATTACAAGCTGACGTGCTTCAATTTATTATTCCGGTCAAGGAGATGGATGTCAATGACAGCAATCTTGCAAAATTGTCTGAAAGCGCTAAAGCCCTGCCACCTTCTCACTGCATAGCTCTTAATGAAAACAATTGACATTACTCAAGTGCTTCTATCAACAAAATATCCTAGTTAAACATGTTGGTAGCGGTATTTAAAATTTCTATAAAGAAGAGTCACCTTTATACCGCGCATTACATTTATTTTAGTTAAATCTGTACATACGCTCGAGGCCTTTCGGGATTACCCCATCTTCAAGAGCACTACTAAGATTACACACTACAACAAGCACATAATTACAATGATAAGTAATGCCTTGAGCACACAAACTGCATTACCAAATTAAAACATGCTAACTCATAATTGCAAGTAAATATAGAGACAAGTGACGAAGTACATAACAATCCTGATTTGCTTTGTTATGTACTTCGTCACTTGTCTCTATGTTTACTTGCAATTATGAGTTAGCATGTTTTAATTTGGTAATGCAGTTTGTGTGCTCAACGCATTATTTATCATTGTAATTATGTGCTTGTTGTAGTGTGTAATTTTAGTAGTGCTCTTGAAGATGGGGTAATCCCGAAAGGCCTCGAGCGCATGTACAGATTTAACTAAAATAAATGTATTGCGCGGTATAAACGTGACTCTTTTTTCATGCATTGTGAACAGTGCGGAGAATCTACAAATATCCATTATTGGAAGTTTTCCTCGCCATTGGCAAACATTTGTCGCATTCTTCTGGTTGAAAAAAGAATCTTATCTATTTACAATGAAAAATCGACCAGCACAAAATTAAAATTGACCCAAGAAGGTCCCTGACCCCATGGACCTATGAGTGGACCAAAGGTGGTCTGAGATATCCTATCGAGCTGGTAAATTTTTTTGGATATTTCTGGCGTTTTTCTGTTTCAAAAATCAATCCATGTTGATCGTTTGAAAAATAGATAAGATTTTTGAATTGGTCTCAGTGAAACAGGCTTAAGTCCAAAAACTCAAGAGCCCTGGCCGTAGTTGATCTTGCAGAATGCTTGTCCTCCTAGGTATTTGAACCTACGCCCGTCTAACAAAAACCCTTTCAGTTACCTATTAGAGAGGAGACCCTTTTCTTCTTTTTTCGACTTGAAGAGAAGCTGATCAAAAGTTGCACCCTTTTCAATGCAGACTGAGAATAATTTCAACGGAGCAATTTTTAAAACTAGTTAAATTTTTAAGGCATTAAGTCTCTAGTCAAGCTAATTAAGTCTTTGAAAATCTACATGATTGATGCTGAGAGTGAAAAATGCTAATTTGAAAAAGGTAAGATTGTTCATGCAGAGTAATTATCCTCTGCATTTGGCAATGTGCGCTTTCCTTCCTTGGCCCCAAATTTCTGTCGGGTGAAAACTTTTTCATACATGTCCTTGCTTGGTACGAAGGTGAGGGCAGTGGCAAAGAGAAAAAAAAGAAAACCATTGGCAAAGGGAGAAATATATTTTTGAAAGTCTCATGGTGGTATACATTAAAAAAAGATAAACATTTTAACATCTCAAACGAGGATAATGAGGGTTGAAGTCCCTTTCAATGGGGAAAAAGATCTCAAAATAAAATATCACATTAAAGCAGAAAAATTTGATGAGGTACCTATATTAGAATGTTGTAAAAATACAAATCTGACATAGCAGAAGATATATTGCAACGTTCTAAAAATGTAGCCTATGACTCATGGAAAATTAGGTATCTAGTTTCAATTCAATGAGGGAAAATCACAGCATCCAATCGCAAACATCCTCAATCAATGAGACAATGAAGTAGTACTCTTAACCATATTGCGACTCAAATAAATAATTTTTTTGTTTCAATTGTGGCTAAACATTCTAAGGACAATTTTGTACCTAAAGACTATACTTGCATTAAAGAATGCCGAAGCGAATTTAACTTCTGTCACTTCTAAAAGTTTACCACAAAGAGAACAATAGAGGGGCTTGGAGGACAAGGCATAGACTTAAGTGCAGTTTTTGAAAATATTGACATAAGTATTCATGAACTCAACTAAAACCAGTTTGAATATATATTCCGTGAAAAATTCACAACTAAAATCCAACTTTAAAGCATCAAAAAGTGAGTTTAGACTGCCTTTTTGCCATAAGCTTCCATGTAATTTTGAAAATTAGACATGGATTTCTTGAAATAGCAAAAACTGCACTTATCTAAGGTGTATAAGTCGGCAATCACATGACTCGATTTGCGACGTCGCAGACTTCCTGTCCGTTATTTTTTAAACGGAAAACTTCTCAACGGCAATTCCTTAAAACTGCCGTGATGTTTCTCCTCTGTGCAAAGAAAATTCTGCAAAAACTTCAAGGAAGGATGTCAATTTGTTCACCTTTAAAAAAATGACATAGAGGCGGAGATTTTTCAGAAACCGCGAACGAGATATCGACGGTGAAACTACCAAACCACGTATCTCGTTTGCGGTGTTTAAAAATCTACGCTCACATTTTATTTTTTTGAAGTAGACCAAATCAATATCATTCCTTGAAATTTTCACGGAATTTTCTCCGCACAAAGAGGAAAAATCACAGAAATTTTCAAGACTGGATATTAAGTAGTTTTTTATTTAAAAAATAAAGTATGACAGGAAGTCTGCGACGTCGCAAACTGAGATACGTGGTTTGGTAGTTTCACCGTCGATATGCGATTGCGGACTTTACACCGTCATTATGCGGCTAATGTGCAAGAAAGACAATCAAAGCTTCAGTTAGTGTTGCATTCGACTCGACGGATACTAAACGGATTTCATGAAAACGCCTGGACGGATCTATTCGAGCTCCGTGGATATCTGCGTTGCATACGCAAGGAAAAGAAGGCGTTTTGACTTCAGACACTAACCGCCTCACCAGCGGCGCTCAGTATGGCGAGTCAATGTGAGGAGTCGGACTCAATGTAGAAACATTGAAAGCTCCAATCGATGTTAAAACCAAACGTGGCGGTTTAAGAAGTGCTTACATTGATTTTTCCTAAAATTTCCTTCAGAGGCACCTCATACAATTTATAATGTGAAGAACTCAATATCAAAAGCAGTTTTAGTCGAAAATGTTATGTCCAGCCTCTCTGAGAGGCTGGTTCCGTAGTGTAGCGGGCTTGGGTACGAGGAGCAAAAATGACAGAGGGCCCTCACTGGGAAAAAAAAAGTGGATTGGATCTAGCGTCCAATCTCTCAAAAACATTGACAAGAAAAAATACTCTTGATTCAATCTGATTTTTCCTTGAATCGAAGGGCTGAGCCTCTTGATTTGGGTGGATTTCCTTCTGATTCAAGCAAAAAGTCCGATTGAACAGAGAGTATTTTTTCTTGTCAATGTTTATAAGCGTCTGGACTTTAGATCCACTTGGATATCCCTTAGGAATGAATAGTTGCTCTACAAATCATGCTCAGCACATCGCGATATCAAAACTGAAGCACAACTACTCTCAAAGCAATACCCAAGCAAATTCTCTCACATCCTACATCAGTCTGCAACTATTCGTGTCTAGGATTTATCTTGGAGGCATGAACGAAGAACTGAAACCACTCTACCATTTTGAATCCTCGCAGTAAAACCAGGTCCTGGACAGTCAAAACTCCTTCAATTCCGTACGTATGCTACACGCACAACCATGGAGCGCGTAAAGTTGCATCCGGAGGTTAAAAAGAGCTTAGAATACTGTTCGTCGCGAGGGCACTTTGCTTGCTTGTTTCTCTTACACCGCAACTTAAGGTGAATCTTCAGCTGTAGTGTTCCGAAAGAATCCACCACGTCACACTGCTAAAATCCGACTCCGAAATCAGTGATTATTTAAATATCACAATAGATATTTTAAATTCTAAGATTCATAAGTTCTAGTAGCATACGCCTGAAATCCTTAAAAACAAACGCGAGCTTTAAAAGTCTAATAATAAAAGCTAGATCCCAGTTTCTCTTACGGAATATCTGTAAGTGCGAGAGAGACAGCTCACGGTGGGAGAGAGATAACTGCAAATGCTGAGAGCGATCAATCGCAATTGGTTGCATCAAGGTCATCATGCTTAACCCAAATTTTTTCTGGGATCAAGTTTCAGAGCTTCAGAAATTACTTTTCACGACGTTTTTAGTGTCAATAGGAAGAAGAATGTTATGGCTAGAACTTATGACTCTTCGATTTAAACAGAAATTCCTTCAACTTTCATAAAAGCTCAAGGCCTCGTGTGGAGCTGTACGGACTCTAATAGCGTGGACCAAAAAATCAAAAAACAGCGGTGGCGCCTCTGCGCGGAGTTTTTTACTTCATGGAGCTGTAGATGAACCTTAATTCCAGCCTTGCCTATGGTGTCGATGAAGTAAACTATTGAGAGATGATTTTTATCGTGACATCGTCAGTTCTCGCAAATAGCTCTGATTGTTCAAATGTATAATAATGTTGCCGTCCTAAAATGTAGGCTGTGGCCACTGCTCTCTCTCGTCTAAGAACAACGAATGCGGCAGGTGAACATAAGACCAAAAAGAACATATTAAAAATAAATAATTTTTTTATATTTAAGTCAAATAACAAGAATGTACATACACTTTACACTCATTTCATTCCACTCTATGCTACGTGGGTAACACTATAATTTTTTCAATTGTTTTTCTACTTCTATGACAAAACCAATTTTTAGCACTTCATTTCGATAACTTAATTTTTTTTATTATTTATCACTTCCTAAAAACTGTAATGCCTTTACAGCTTAAACAGCTCAACAGTTTTTTACAGGCAGCTCAATTCATTAGGCGCCCATGAAAGTTAAAGGAAACATTGCAGTAATTGGTTAGAGCGCTAGATCTTCTCAGATCCCCCATTCTCCCTCATTCTTTTACAACAACAAAAAAAACAGCGGAATTGAGTGTTTCCGCTTGTTAACCATTGCTAATAAAATTCCTTACGTTCTGTGTATAGCGTTGTGTGGATGCAACTTTCTTCAAGTTCCTTCATGAAGAAGCACGTCTTGGGATACATTAATGTTCACTCTGTTTTTAGGTCAATTGTTCACAGGTTGCACGACTTTTGAATTACTATTTGTGACGGAGCCAGCGGGCTGATTACTGGATTTGATAGACAAAGAAGCGGAGGGAAAATGGAGCGATCATACTGATTGAATGGTTAGGTGAAAACTCATTGATTGTCCGGTGTTGGAAAAACCCCGATTTGGAATTAAAAATGAAGATTTTCAGTTTTCGATACACAACACTTCCTGAGACAAATTAAGTGAATCATTTCTAGGATTGACAAATATTTTAAGAGCCGTTGTTAAAATATTAACAACCGTCATTAAAATATTTGCCAATAAACAACCGATTTCTCGATTTTCCTCGTTTGTAGTCCCCGAACTTTCAACTGCTACCGAGGGGTCAATTTTTTCACTGTTTGGAAGTTCTGCATGTGTCTTAAATGAGGTAGCATTGGACCCTCTAAGCTGAGGTAGAGTTTTCTCATTTCTCCCCTCCCATCTTGCGCCACATTTTGTACGGTTCTGTTACATCTTATTTAACTTTTTTCTGTTGATCGTAAGGTTTTTATTTTTGTGGAACCTTCGGCTAGATCTGTATAGACGAATTTGGGTTTATTTAAGGATTAAAAAGATCATCAATACCCTGGGATGGAATTAAAATGGCTATGATCACCATGTTAAAGATCGCCTTATGGTGCCCAGCTGTTCCCACTTATTGCCGGCGAACTGGAGGCTAGAAATGCATTGCACAAGGATTGACTTCATCGGCACTTCAGTCAGGGATGTAATGATTTATTCATTCTCAAATTCCTTGATGTCCCCTGATTTTTCCTTACTCCAACATTTCCTAATCCCTGACCTTGGGACTAAATGTCTACTTCTTTTTCTTTTAAATACGCTGATATTCGCTGAACTTTGGACACACTTTCCTTGCTTGGGGACCAAATTGTGGAAAAAGGCATTTAGTAGCTGCATGGTAAAAAGAGGACACGCCTTACACATGACAGAAAGTGCAAACAGGTGGAAGATCAATGATATGTTTTAGTGACCGGTATAGGTGTCGTCGGAGTTCACCATTGTTTACTCTCGGTTTGCAAGCGCCAACGACGAATTTACGCCTCTGCACAAAGCGACGTTCGCTGCCATCCACCGTGAAAACATCCGTCTCATGATCGTATCGTAAAAAAACTACTTATCAGTTAAGATTCGCGACTGTCATACGGTTGTGATTTCTGTGTGGCTAAAAATTTGAGTGTTGAAAGGTTTGAAAGTGTTAAGAAACTTATCTATATACTTGTGTTCTTGCTTCTGCGAGAGTCGGATGTTTTCATGTGAATAGTAGTGACGCGAAAACGCTTGCAAACTAAAAGTAAACAACGGTCAACTTGTCTGACGACACCTCTAGATGTATCAGAAATTCCCTAACTTCCCCCGGAAGTCGTTAAATTCCCTGATTTTCCCTAGAGCGCCTTTATACTGAGAGTTAGGACAACCCCCCTACCCCCTCATAGAGTCACAAACGGGAATAAAGATTACACAAATTGAAGGTTTTTCGTAATCTTCGATCGGCCCATTCTCAAATTCCTTTTTCCGTCCCCTCTCTCATTCCGTTTGTTCCTTGCCGAACCCGTCATTCCCCGGTCCATTCTAGAGTATAATCTTTGCAAATGGTGAAAATGTGATCTTTATTCCCGTTTGTGACACTGTGGATACCGAAAATACGGTAACCAATCAGAAATGGATTCACATTGTCTTAACTCGCAGTATAAAGGGACTCTAACTTTCCCGGTTTTCCAGACCGCCGGCAATCATGTCAAATACATTGCTACTCTTTTACGATGTATATTCTCAACGCTGCGATTCCTTCTCCGAGTGAACGGTCATGTGTTCCTTGATCAATTTCTTCGTTGTGAACAGAGCAGAGCAAAGAGCGCAAGAGAAGGGTTCCCCATCCGGGTGTTTCCTGTAGACGTGGCCGGTCAAGGCCTCCTTGATCTTGAACTTGGCAGGACACTGCCCGCACGAGAACGGCCGCTCGAGCGTGTGATTGGTGAGAAGGTGCCTGTTCAGGTGACTCCTGAGCTTGAAGGCGGCGTCGCATTTGGTGCAGGCGAACGGTCTTTCGTCCGAGTGTTTCGTCGCGAAGTGGAGCTTGAGGTTCTGCTTCAAGGAGCAGGTGAAATCGCACGAAGAGCACGCGAAAGCCGGCCGCTCGTCGGATTTCGAATGTTTCACGATCAAATGCCGGTTCAGCGCTTTCTTCCGGGAGAACGCCTTGTCGCACAGCGCGCACGGGAAAGGCTTCTCGCCCGAGTGTTTGGCGAGGATGTGGTAATCCATGTACCGTTTGAACTTGAACGAGGCGGGACACTGCGGACAGGTGAACGGAGTTTCGTCCGAGTGTTTCACCGCGCGGTGTGATTTGAGGTCGCTCGCGCATTTGAACTTGGCCGGACAGTCGGCGCACGAGAAAGGTTTCGCTCTCGAGTGCCGGGCATTCATGTGCTTGCTTAAAGATTTCTGCGTGCTGAAAGACACTTTGCAAACCTTGCAAACGTGCCCTTCGTCCGAGTGTTTGAGGAGAACGTGTCGTTGGAAATTCACCTCGTCGTTGAACACGGCCGAACAGGTTTCGCAAGAGATGGACACCTCGTTCGAATGTCTCACGGATGTGTGGACATTCAGATCGTTCTTGAGCTTGAAGGACGCGGGACACTTCCCACACGAGAACGGCCTCGCAATGGAGTGCTTCCTGAACATGTGTTCCTTGAGGACGTGCTTGTATTTGAACGCGCCGGCGCATTTCGGGCATCCGAAAGGCCTATCGTCCGAGTGCTTCACCAATAGGTGGTTCTTGAGATGACATTGGAGATTGAACGTGGCAGGACAGTGCGAGCAAGGGAAGTGTTTTTTATTCGAATGATGCTCAGAAGAGCCTCCCTGGGGAAGCCTTTCAACGGGCTCGGAGCAGCTGCTGCATTGGACATGTTTCAGTGCACGACCTCGTCTATTGTTTCTTTCGGAGTCGATGCTTTCTTCGACTGAGGGCGAAGTTTTCTCCGGGTCTTGCATCTGTACTTCTTCAATTGCTACTCCGAAATCTTCTTCCTTGCAAATAGCACCAACATCCACGAAAACGCTACCTTCAGTGACAATCGATGTACCATCGGTGAGTACTGGATCGTCCGACGAAGATTCCACCTCTGCTTTTATGCCTTTCACCGTGTATTCATCTTTAATGAAAGTAGGCGTTATTTCAACAGTATCGTTAGTATTACCTTTAAATTCTTCGTCTGCGGCCTCTTCTTCTTCTCCATTTTCTTCCTTAATGTCAACAACAAAAAATTCCTCTTTGATGTGCATTTCATCTGGTGCACTTGTACTGGTAAAGCTAACTCCATGTTCTCTTCTTGTAGTATTTTTCTCCTCTGCATAAGCCGTCACGCACTTGGGAGGTTCTGTGCTCACATCATTATTTGTTGGTGGGTGGCTAGCCATTCTCCCACTGTTCTTCCTTTATTCCCAGGGGAACTCCTTTTTGAATCCCGTCCTTCAAGATACGGGTTCGTCATGCGGCGACGACTAGACTCAGCTTTCGAATTTTAGTTTTAACTAGAGCAATGATTTTTTTACTACGAAGCAACGACCTGATGTCATAAACCCAAAAAGATTAAAGCTGAATTAAAAAACAAACTTGACTCCATGACTCTTTCCGTAACTCCACGATGAGAGGGATAGAAGTTGAGCGGTCACTAATAATTCTTGCACCCCTCTATGACAGCCTGGTCTAATCCCTTTCCTGGAACAGATGTACCAAATTTTTTATTACCCTTGGATGTTTTGAGCACTTTCTTAATAGAACTTTTTCGAGTTGTAAGAAAATTTAGCTATTAAAAAATAAATCTGATCTTAAATAAATCAATCTGAAGCTTTCGGAAAAAAAGTGAGAAAAAAACATAGTGCTGGCATTCAATTTAAGTAAGAGGTTGAATATTCAAATAGTTTCTCACTATTAATACGTGTAAAAATCTCTCAAGTTAGCACTCAATTAGAAAAGTAATTCAGGCGTCATTTAGGGGGGCAAGGGAGAGACAGCCTTTCTCTTACGACAGGGACTTATCTCCTCCTTTCGAATACTTGGAGCCAGTTATGCAAAAGAGAGTTTCCACTAGGTTTCTCTCGAGATTTTTAAGCATAGGTCACCCGGGCCGCAGCTTCGGGCGGCTAAAAAAAGTACAAAGAAAAAAACAAAGATACGGCGCGGCACCAACGCCCACGGCGTGCTGCCAGAAAGCCGGCAAAGACAGGTAAGGGACTTGAATGGGACTAACGGACTCACGTGTAAATTCAATATCTTTCATTCAAAACCTAGGAGAATTGCCTAAAATTACTATTTGATTGATACCTCGCTTGCCCTGGTAAGTTTAACCAGTCAATTTTCACCTTAAATGACCTGTTTTTGCCCCAATTTTGGCTCATAAAAAGTCGGGACGCAAGAAATGTTGAGTATTTTAGTTGAAAGGTGTCTCCTACTTTAGACGTGTGTGAAGGTATTGAACTTCGTACTTTAGAAGGTGGTATTCGATGGTATTCGTTACTTATTCGTATAAAAGTGATTTTTTAGGATTTTCACCATTATGAATCAAATTTTGGCACCATTCGAGTTCGGTAAAAGAGGCCAAATTTTGATTTTCATGTAGTTTTAACCCCAAATTTGTAATTTTTGTCGAAAAATACCATAGAATCGATACCCTACACGGCTATACTGACGAATTTCATGTTTAAAGCCCAAATAGGCCCATTTTTGGCGCCAAAATTCCAAAACAGACTTTTGAGGATGATTCTGCGTAGTTTTCTAGTCATAGATAGAAATTTTTGACGAAAGTAACCCACGAAACCGTACGTCACATGTTGAAATCTGTTGGATATACACATGTTTGGCCTAAATTTGCCTCAAAATGGCCTATTTTTCGAATTTTGGCTTACCCAGTGGATTGTATCGAATTTTCGATCAAAAATTCGAGTTTTACGAGTAAAATTACATAGGAATCGATACTTCACTTGCCAAATTAAAATTATGGGGCAAGATGCTGAGCTCGGGGATTTTTAACAATTCGCCATTTTAAGGCCAAAAACAAGCGTCCAAATTCCTGTTCTTTCGTATGCGGGCTAATAAGCGTATCTTCAAGAAGATCTGTGCAAAATTTCAAGCAAAAATATGCATTTCCCTCCGAGTTACAGATTTTACGTCGCCCCAAGGTCTGTTTTTTCCCACTGTGCGGCATAGCCGGTTTTGAGGCGCCGCGCCCGCAGATAAGTGCTCGCTTTTGAGACTTTCTGATCGAACTCAAAATAAGTGTTCCGAAGTTGAAGAGGCAAATCGACGGTGAAAGTCGGCAATCACATAACTCGGTTTGCGACGTCGCAGAATTCCTGTCATACTTTATTTTTTAAACGGAAAACTACTCAACGGTAATTATTTAAAACTGCCGTGATTTTTCTTCTATGTGCGAGGAAAATTCTGCAAAAACTTCAAGGAATCATGTCCATTTGTTCTCCTTTAAAAAAATAACATAGTTGCGGAGATTTTCAGACACCGCAAACGAGTTATGTGATTGCCGACTTGCACCGTCGAAATGCATCTCACTACTTGATGAGAAATAATGTATAAAAGTTGTTTCAGCCCTTGAGAACTATACTTGGCCCTATACAATGTTGCCTCCCATACTATTTCTCGAACCTGTAACGAAATTGGTGCATATATTTTGTCTTGCACTAGAGTGATCCCCCCTACCTTCACCCATGAGTCAAAAGTGTGATTTTTTCGTTTCGAATGAGCCCCTAAATGCCTTTCTAATAGCTGGTCAGGTTTTCTTCATTCAAGCGCATTTTAGATCCAAAAAACGCATTTTCGCAGATCAGGGATTTTTCCACCCATACAAACTAATGTAATTTTGCCCGTAGTTTTGATAACTTTGAGCATCATCTAAAAAAGCTTCAAATTGGCTCAAATTTTATACAGCTTTTTATTTTCATAGATACATATAGAACCGATTGCCATCCGGACTTCGTCGATTTTCCTACAAGACGGAAATAAGCCGCACCCTAGGGTGTACCCTTAACTTTTGAAGTATTCGCATTCCCTACGACGATTACTAAGCTGTACAAAAAGTTACAGGCAATTCAAGCCAGAATACCTGCTGATTTGTATTTCTTATATCATTTAAATAAAGCAGTTGCAGCAATATTAGTACAAGCCAATTGAGAAACTTGCGGTTTTGGAATTTAGCCATCCAAACTTCGGCATTATCAAAGCCATCGAAGTTTCATTCAATTGGAGAGTTAAGTCATGCATACACTGTAGTAAGATGTTAGAATTTGTCGAAAATTAGCTTTCCCATTCTTGATACATCGATGTTAAAAAAAAAATACGGTTTCACAAAATTTTACTCCGCGGATACACCGACACCACACACAAGTGATTTTGGGTAGAAGGTAGACCAGACCAACTACGATTCTATTTGGAAAGTCGACGTGAGGATGCCCTCTAAAAAATTACAAAAATATAAATTTGAGAACATAGTACGCCCTTTAATAACAAAAATTTACACTTTACAATCTCCATGTGCACTCTTTATTACAGTATATATTGTCATATTTCATTTACATTATTTTAGCGTCTCGGTAAAATAGGGTATTTTAAGACGAGAAAAACGAATTTGACGTTAGAATTTCTTAAGAACCAAAATTGTCGAAATGGCGGCTGGTTTAAGTTCAAAAAGGCCGAAAATTGCCACCGCTTGTTTGTCGATGGATTTGTCTGAAACTTGGAACCTAGAGGTATTTATACAGGAGATAATGCAATTTGAAATTAGATTTCAAGAAGAAGAAGAAAAATAAATTCGGTTATTTTGAACTTCAATCAGCCGCCATTTTGACAGTTTTGGTTTTTTTAAAAATCTAACGTCACATTGGTTTTTTTCGTGATGGAATACCCCCCATAGCCTAGTTTCAGCAAATCCATCAACAAAAAACCTAAGGTGTCAATTTTCGGTCATCTTGAACTGTAACCGGCTGTCATTTATTGACGGTTCCCGATATTGACTTCGGGTTTGCGCAAAAATATTTCTTTCCTTTTGCTTTTTAGAATGAGGTATCACAAGGTCGGTCTTTCTAGTTGAAAATAAAAGGTTAGGATCCGTTGTCCCCTCAAGGGCAAAGGGCCCTAGGGCCCCCCTGATTATTTTTGAGGGGGGCTAAAAAATAGCTCCCTTTGACCTAAGAGCATCCTCTAACTTTAAAAATTTCTACCACAATTAGGTCATAAGTTAGAGGGTGGGGAGGGTACTTTATAAACACCCTGTATATTCACTAGCTGTTCTGGCACAGAAAAATTCAAGATGTGCTGAATGGCTTAGGGCGTCGTACAGCAGTAACGGTAACTAGGTCATATGTCACCTCACACGCTTTTGCATACGTTCCACTCATTGGTTCATCTGAGTAAGAGAAAGAGCATTGACACTAACTAAAAGGTTAGTCACCACTCTGCGTTACCATATGCCTTGTTAACAAGCACTTAAAACTAAAGAAGGAAGAGAAATGACTACATCTGAACGGTGTCTCACCGGTGTGCGTTCTGACATGATCTCCTAGGTGAATTTTTTTGGGAAATAGAAACAGGGCAATGATTACAACTGAATGGTTTAAGACCGATATGTTTTAGCACATGAAAAAGTCTACATTTATGGATAAACGAAGAATGCGCGAAGGTAATGTTAGGTGAACTTTCCGGGAAAAAGGAAGTGAACAATAGCTGCAACTGGATGAATCTCAGCAGTGTACAAATAAGGCATTAATCGCCGTTTTGGAAGAGAGAAGTCGAGCACTGATTGCTACTGAATGCTTCCTCATCAGTATGCTTTAACAAATGTCTCATCAAAGAATCTTTTCGGGGAAAAGAAGCCGAACAGTGACTACAACTGAATGGTTTCTCACCAGTGTGAATTCGCATATGCTTCCTTACGTCGGATTTCTGGTAGAAGGTAGCCGAACAGTGACTGCAACTGAATGGTTTCTCACCAGTGTGCGATCGCATGTGGGCCTCTAAATTGAATCTTTGGGAGAAGGAAGCCGAACACTCACTGCAGATAAATGGTTTCTCACCCGTATGCGTTCGCACGTGCCTTGCTAAAGAGGATTTAACGCTAAAAGAAGCCAAACACTGACTACAATTGTATGGTTTTTCACCAGTGTGCGTTCGCATGTGAATCTTGAAATTGCCTTTACCGGCAAAAGAAGCAGAACACAGACTGCAACTGAATGGTTTCTCACCAGTGTGCGTCCTCATGTGCCTTCTTAGTATGTGCTTCGAGAAGAAAGAAGCCGAACACTCAATGCAACTGAATAGTTTCTCACAAGCGTGCGTTCGTACGTGGCACAATAAATGGTCTTTTCGGAAAAAAGAAGCCGAACACTGAATGCAACTGAATGGTTTCTCACCAGTGTGCAAACGCACGTGATCATGTAAAGAGGACTTATGGAAGAAAGAAGCCGAACAGTGACTGCAACTGTATGATTTCTCACTAGTGTGCGTTCGCATATGACACATTAAACTGCGTTTTACGGAAAAGGAAGCCGAACACTGACTGCAACTGAATGTTTTCTCATCAGTGTGCGTTCGCATGTGGCTCCTTAAATACCGTTTTTGGGAGAAAGAAGCCGAACACTGACTGCAACTGAATGGTTTCTCACCGGTGTGCGTTCGCATATGGCTCCTTAATTGGTCTTTTCGGGAGAAAGAAGCCGAGCAGTGACTGCAACAGAATGGTTTCTCACCAGTGTGCGTTTGCATGTGGCTCCTTAAATGCGGTTTTTGGGAGAAAGAAGCCGAACAGTGACTGCAGCAGAATGGTTTCTCACCAGTGTGCAAACGCACGTGATTATTTAAAGAGGTCCTATAAGGGAAAGAAGCCGAACAGTGACTGCAACTGTATGGTCTCTCACCAGTGTGCGTTCGCATATGACGATTTAAACTGCAATTTTCGGAAAAAGAAGCCGAACACTCACTGCAACTGAATAGTTTCTCACCAGTGTGCGTTCGCATATGGCTCCTTAAGTTGTTTTTTCGGGAAAAAGAAGCCGAACAGTGACTACAACTAAATGGTTTCTCACCAGTGTGCGTTCGCATGTGGTTCCTTAAATACGATTTTAGGGAGAAAGAAGCCGAACACTGACTGCAACAGAATGGTTTCTCACCAGTGTGCAAACGCACGTGATTACTTAAAGAGGACTTATAAGAGAAAGAAGCCGAACAGTGACTGCAACTGTAAGGTCTCTCACCAGTGTGCGTTCGCATATGACGGTTTAAAGTGCGATTATCGGAAAAAGAAGCCGAACACTGAATGCAGCTGAATGGTTTCTCACCAGAGTGCGTTCGCATATGGTACTGTAAACTTTGTTTTTCGGGAAAAGAAGCCGCACACTCATTGCAGCTGAATGGTTTCTCACCAGTGTGCGTTCGTGTATGCCTCTTCAAATTTTGTTTTCGGGAAAAAGAAGCCGAACACTCACTGCAACTAAATGGTTTCTCACCAGTGTGCGTTCGCAAATGGGACTTTAAACTTTGTTTTTCGAGGAAAGAAGCCAAACAGTGACTGCAACTGTATGGTCTTTCACCAGTGTGCGTTCGAATATGGACCTTTAAATACTCTTTTCGGGAGAAAGAAGCCGAACAGTGACTGCAACAGAATGGTTTCTCACCGATGTGCGTTTTCATGTGGCTCCTTAAATGCGGTTTTTGGGAGAAAGAAGCCGAACACTGACTGCACCTAAATGGTTTCTCACCAGTGTGCGTTCGTATATGCCTCTTCAAATTTTGTTTTCTGGAAAAAGAAGCCGAACACTCACTGCAACTAAATGGTTTCTCACCAGTGTGTGTTCGGAGATGTTCTCGCAGTTGGAGTTTTTGGGAGAAAATGTCAGAGCAATGATTACAACTGAATGTTTTAGGACCTTTCCTTTGAATATCCATATCTTGATGTGAAGATTCAACTTGAGTTTTTGTGGGGGATGCAGTTTTTTTATCACTGGGGAATGTTTCTATAAAATTTGAACTTAGCTCACTGCAGTTCAGAGGAGCTAGAAATTCTTCGCTGTTATTCGTGATTAAAAGATCATGATTTAACGGATTGCAAATTTGTTTACCAATTGTTCGTGCTTCATTCTCGCCGTTTATGACATATTGACCTTCGAATGATTGCAACGGCGATTCACTTTTGATGTCAATACTGGTATACAAGTGTTCGACCGGAATATAATTCTCTTCGCCTGGTTCGGTTTTAAATGTGGTCAAAAGGGTTGCTGAAGATCCGGATGGAGTCGTCTCTAGTTGCCTTGGTGGGGTATTTCCGTTAGAAAAATTGGGCTCGTCTTCACATTTCACAAAGAGAGAGAATGCGGAAGATCTGGATGGGATCGTCTCAACTTGGCTCATTGGGGTATTTTCGTCACAAAAATTGAGCTCGTCTTCACATTTTACAAAGAAAGGGTTTGCTAAAGAACTGGAAGGAATCGTCTCAACTTGCCTTGGTGGGGTAATTTCATCACAAAAATTGAGTCCGTCTTCACATTTCACAAAACGAGAGTCAACAGTAGGGGATCCTCTTCCAGAAGCTGATGATTCGATTGGTGGATTACGTTCGATCGGCGAGTGATCGGTTTGAGAAATTTGGAGGGTAGTATCCGCCAACGGATTCATTTTGGATGGTGAGCTCTTACGGCAGTCTGCTTTTTGTCGAGAGGATTTCTGGTCGCATGTATCCTATCACTTGCATCCCTTCGTTGTCCTGGAAAGATTTACACAAGAAATGGTGTCAGAATAAGTATCACATTCCCAAGAAACGGGGGATAAGACCCAAAAAAAATCTGGCAAACTACTTTGTACCATTGATTGATAACAAAATTTCTAAAACCGGAAAATTCCAAAACGTTTATTTCAATCATAAATCACGGAGATTTCTTCTTATTATTTTTATATTATGCTTGACATTTTTATGAAAGCCAGTGATTTTTAGGTCTGTCGTTCTAATTGGACTGAGTTAAACAGAAAGGAACCAAGCCACATCAGCTATTGCCAAATTTAGCTGGGCAATTTATTCTTATTTATGAAAATGGCTGTGCGGATTTTTGTGCAAATTTCAGTGAATATTCTCCGTAATACAAAGCAAATTCCTTAAAATTTTTAAAGGAATCCGCACAAAAGTTCTCTCGTAAAAAAGTAAATTGCCTAGTTAAATTTGGCAATAGCTGATGTGGCTTGGTTCCTTTCTGTTAAACGCGGTCCAATTATACAATACACAAATTTCTTCATTTAATATTATTAACTAACAGGAAGTCCCCAAAGTTTAGAAAACTTATTAGGCAGCGTTCATTCCTCCTCATATCTCAAGAATTGCCAAGTTTCATCATCTTTTATTTCACATTTTCAAGTGTCGGCTACGCTGTGTCGGTTACGTAAGCGACACAGTTTGGCAGTGCCACCATGTTTCCGTGGACCTCCAGCAGTCCCGCGGGAGGAGCTGATACATGTGATTCAATGCCTTGTTTGTATTTTTCTGTAACTTTGTACTGAATCAAAATAGTTCGTCCCATAGCTGAAAAAAGGAAGTTTAACGCCTTTAAAATGAAGTAATGAAATTTGTTTAAAATTGGTGCACTTTTATTTTTAAGGCGCTGCAGAATTTAGCTATTCCTGTTATCGTGAAATCACCCATGTAGAAGAGGAGTTGAAAGCAGTTACTGAAAACCGAAAAATTCGCAGACCTGCAATACCTCAAGAGTTTCAAAAACTTCGCACGGTTAAAAAAATTTCTAACTGGAGAAATGTCAAGGAATTTTTAGGACGTACAAGTTATTTGTGAAAGCAGAAAAATATACCTAGAACAACCAGACAACTCCTGCAAAAAGTGTTATTACAGCGCGTCATTGACTCGTATATATGAGCCTGATTAGTGTTCATTTACAGAGATTTTAATAAACGTAAACAACACCTTAATTGAATCCACGAGCCATCGCTGTGAGGTCAACCACGTACCCTTACGTGACCACTGATTGCGAACGTAGAAAGCCGTTCGAACGGGTTTAAATATTTTGATCCTCCACAAGCAAAAACTTATCAGGAGCTTCAATAAGAAGGCTCCTTAATAATTCAAGCCGAAAACAAAAAAAATCAGTCGAACTCCTAGCAAAAAAGTCGATTTTTACGTATTTTTTGGCTAGGATAGACTACTCACCGGTAGTAAAAACCGTTATTTTACTTAAAAGAAGAAAGTGGGCCAAAATAAATGCAATTGCATTAAATATGTCTTGATTTTGTGATTCTCAGTATCCTTCCATGCAATGAAGTTCAGCAATGTCTGATGCTTTATTCATTTTTGCATTGTAAGTAAGCAATCCACATCCTAAAAATCAAGAGACACACGTTGCGCTTGAGGAAGCCGAGACGATAAGAGTTGAGGTCTGCAACGTTGCAGTCGGAGCTAAATACGCTTCCTTACGCGACTAGGAAAGGATATTTGAACTCATTCACGGCAGGCGCAGTGATACGACTATTCGACCACGGGTGTAAACATGTTGCTGCCAGCCGGATTGAAGGCGCGCCACACTCCAGCAATTACTCGGGTCCCGTCCCGTGCGATCTCCCTGGCTGGTGCGCCACTAAAATCGCCGCAATGGGAGGACTGCACGTCATTCTCCTTGCCTCTCTGCCCCGTTTTTACCACAATTTGAGTGAAAGTGTATCCCTGAATTGAAACGATTCAGAATCTCGGATTGTGTTCATTAAATTCATTTTCTTTTAAAATGAGATATGAAACGAGCGAAAATATTCCGTCAAAATTTCCGGCGACTGAAGAAAATCCGCAGAAATTCCTTAGAAAAACTGTATTTGCCTTTCGAAACAAGAATGATTAAAAATAAGTTATTATTTGAGGTCTGCAACGTTGCAGTCGGGGCTAAATACGCTTCCTTACGCGTGTAGGAAAGGATATTTAAGCGAATTCACGGCAGGCGCAGTGATACAACTATTCGACCACGGGTGTAAGCATATTGCTGCCAGCCGAATTGAAGGAGCGCCACACTCCAGCAATTACTCGGGTCCCGTCCCGTGCGATCTCCCCGGCCGGCGCGCCGCTAAAATCGCCGCAATGGGAGGACTGCACGTCATTCTCCTTGCCTCTCTGCCCCGTTTTTACCACAATTTGAGTGAAAGTGTATCCCTGAATTGAAACGATTCAGAATCTCGGATTGTGTTTATTAAATTCATTTTCTTTTAAAATGAGATATGAAACGAGCGAAAATATTCCGTCAAAATTTCCGGCGACTGAAGAAAATCCGCGGAAATTCTTTAGAAAAACTGTATTTGCCTTTCGTAACAAGAATGATTGAAAATAAGACATTATTTGAGGTCTGCAACGTTGCAGTCGGAGCTAAATACGCTTCCTTACGCGTGTAGGAAAGGATATTTGAACGAATTCACGACAGGCGCAGTAATACAACTATTCGACCACGGGTGTAAGCATGTTGCTGCCAGCCGGTTTGAAGGCGCGCCACAATCCAGCAATTATTCGGGTCCCGTCCCGTGCGATCTCCCTGGCTGGCGCGCCGCTAAAATAGCCGCAAAGGGAGGACTGCACGTCATTATCCTTGACTCTCTGTTCCGTTTTTACCACAATTTGAGTGAAAGTGTATCCCTGAATTGTAACGATTCAGAATCTCGGATTGGGTTTAATAAATTCATTTTTTTTAAAAATGAGGTATGAAACGAGCGAAAATATTCCGTCAAAATTTCCTGCGACTGAAGAAAATCCGCGGAAATTGTTTAGAAAAACTGTATTTGCTTTTCGCGACAAGAATGATTAAAAATAAGACATTATTTGAGGTCTGCAACGTTGCAGTCGGAGCTAAACACGCTTCCTTACGCGAGTAGGAAAGGATATTTGAACTCATTCACGGCAGGCGCAGTGATACAACTATTCGACCACGGGTGTAAGCAATAAGCATGTTGCTGCCAGCCGGATTGAAGGCGCGCCACACTTCAGCAATTACTCGAGTCCCGTCCCGTGCGATTGCACTGGCTGGCGCTGCTAAAATTGCCTGAAAAGGGAGGACTGCACGTTATTATCCTTGCCTCTCTGTCCCGTTTTTAGCACAATTTGAGTGAAAGTGTATCCCTGAAATGTAACGATTCAGAATCTCGGATTGGGTTTAATAAATTCATTTTTTTTTAAAATGAGGTATGAAACGAGCGAAAATATTCCGTCAAAATTTCCGGCGACTGAAGAAAATCCGCAGAAATTCCTTAGAAAAACTTTAATTGCCTTTCGAAACAAGAATGATTAAAAATAAGACATGTATTGTTTGAGTATGCAACACGGATATCCCGAGAACACGAATAGTTGCATTCAGACCGGGCCGTTGAAAAAGCCGCAGAGTCTTCAATTTTCTTCACTTGTGATTACGTAATGAGTCACTTATAACATTCATACGTTTTTGCTAAACGAAGATAGAGTGCTTTGTGTGTTTCATCGAATTAAACAAGGAGTAAGTATATTAGTAATAAATATATAAATGAAATTATACTAAAGATATAAATGAAATGGAGAGTATTCGAAACAATTTCTCGCTCCTGACCATATCGGCCAATACGCACTTCACCGTTTTCTGTAGATCTTTTAATTTTATTTACGTGAAAATATGCAAACATCGTATCCTATTACTTGTAAAATAAAAAATTGAGCAAACGGTTCTCCCGAATTTCATTGATGGCGAGTAATGCCTAATGAATATCAATGAGAATTCTAAGCTCACGGCAGAGGATTCTTGCAACTAGGGTTTACTCATATAACTCGACCTACTTTAGTTTCTAGCTGATGTCTGACCGAGGATTGTGCAAGAAGTCTAGTACTGTACATGAATATTCTTTGAGGTTTGAGAAACAAAAGAAGCGTTAACCGCGAAAATGTCGATGGTGGTCAACATCCACCACTGTCGCAGATATGGCCTCATATGTTTAGGAAATTGCTTTTCAAGGAGAAATGAAAAATGAAATTAGACCAATGATGGAAAATGAACATAATCTCACCTATGACCTCAGTAGGCGAATCTTCAATGCGCTTCTTCGGACTGGTGGGGTGGGGCAATCGGTGCAGATGATTGCTCCTCCAGGATGTGGCATAACATTCGTCCCTAAAAATCGATTTTTAGGGCAAACGCGGCAGAGACATGGTTGCGACAGAATGGTTTCTTGATGCCGGGCATTTACATGGGTATTCATAAATCTGCCCTTTAGGAGAGAGGGAGAGCGCTAGCAAAGGCTGCTACTTAATGGTTTCCTATCTGTTTTCAATTGTTCGTGTTCTTCAACACGTCTTTCCGCACAAACGAGGGAAAGACATTGACTGTAAACAGCTGTTTTCACATCCGTGTGTCTTAACATGTGAATCTTAAATTCGCTTTCTTGGATTTTGAGGGTAGAGCAGTGCATGTGCTGCCTAATAAGTTACATTAAACTGCCTTCATCAATGGGACAGGGCATCAACTGCAGTTACATGAAGGTGACTAGTAATCCGACGTTGCACAGAGTTGATGGTATTTGAAGCACTCGATTAAGGCATGAGGCACACCCTGTTTTCCTTTGCGATGAAATTATAATAATGCTGCTCGCATAATGTGTGATAATGAACAGCTTTTTGGGCTCAGGAAAGGGAGCAATGACTGCGAGCAATTGGGATTTATGCTTGCGCACATGACGATCAAGTGATTTTTTGGGCGCTGAAAAACGTAGCAATGGCTGCAAATGAATGATTTCTCACTAGTATGCATTCGTACGCCAGCGTTTAAATTGCCTTCCTGAGTGAATGAAGCTGGATAAGTATTGCGACTGAACGGTTCCCCACCGGTGATCGTTTCCATGTGTTCTCTTGTACGGCATTTCCTAACTTCAAACAGCAATTTTGTGGAGAAGACTAGAAAAATGATCGCAACTGGATGGTTTCTCACGACTGTTCAGTTATGAACGTCGGGTTAAAGTTGATAAAATGGCAAGTTAGACAGAGCCATCGGAGGAACTTGATGGTTTTTTAGGAGTGTGCACCTGGTTTACGTGTGTATTCAAATGGTTTTTATGGCCGAAAGAGGCAGAGCAATGACTGCAACTGAATGGTTTCTCACGGGCGTGGAGTGCTACGTGTCGCAGTAAAGTCGACTTGAGGGCAAAGGAGGCGGAACAATCGCAGCATTTGAATGGTTTTTCACCGGTGTGCTTCCGCATATGACGCGCAAGGTCACTGCTGAGTAGGAAGGTCAAGGGGCAATGACTGCAACTGAATGGTCTCTCGCCAGTGTGCTTCTGCATGTGACGCGTGCAATCACTCTTATGCCAGAAGGAAGCAGAGCAAAGACTACAACTGAATGGTTTCTCCCCGCCATGCATCTGCATGTGCACGGTCAAATGGTGTTTTTGAGTGAACGAGGCGGGGCAATGACTGCAACTGAATGGTTTCTCGCCGGTGTGTAGCAACAGATGTCGGGTTAAGGTTGTTTTAAGGGTAAAAGTGGCGGAGCAATCGGGACAACTGAATGGTTTTTCGCCGGTGTGCGTTCGCATGTGTCCCAGTAGAGCTACTTTTTGGGCAAAAGAGGCAGAGCAATTGCTGCAGCGGTATGGTTTCTCGCCGGTGTGTAGTAGTGTATGGCGATTCAAAGTTGACTTGCGGGAAAAGGAGGCGGAACACTCAGGGCAACTGAATGGTTTCTCGCCGGTGTGTTTTCGCACGTGAATCGTAAACTCACTCCTGTGCGCAAAGGCGGCAGCGCAATAACTGCAACTGAATGGTTTCTTGCCGGACTGAAGCAGTGACGCACATTCCTCACTGATAGATTCAACATGCGAATTTACTTGGTCTGCTCTTGTGGGCATTTCAGATGGTCTTGATGCTTCCGAATTTGCCTGATCACCGTCATTTGAACTACGATCAGTCGAAGATACCCTAGAGTAATGAGAGGGGTTTTCAATGATGCGTTCTGGCTGATGTTCTCTATCCTCGCTTTTCAGATCGTGCGAAAATTCGGACGATTGAAAAGTTCTGTCATGACTCATGCCGAAATCAATCCGTAAAGGATCCTCGACATTACTCTCCTCGTCGATAGTTTCAGTCTTCACTATGGTGGATACGGCTGACGAACACTCCGTGTTACTCACGGGAGGTGAAAAATAAGTAAGAGGAGGGCGAATGTCTTCTCCTGAATAATTTTTCTCGTCTTCCCTGTCGGGAAAAATTTCAGGTTCGGGCGATTCGGAAGGTTCACTCTTAATTTTCAGCACCGTTACGACCGGCGCGTCCGGATAATCATGCTCCTCATTGGTGTCGGGTTTTGTGGGTGTGGGTAAATCAATGGGCGAACTGGATGACTTTGTAGCTTGGCTATTTGGTCCATTTTCCTCACAGAAAAAACTGTCATCATCATCACTTTCCACCAACTGAGAGGCAGGACTGGTATCCGACTCAATGAATTCGCTCTTAATGAATACTTGGTGACCAACCTCATAGACAGAGTGCATGGAATTCATTTCGCTTTCTTGTGAATTCGTCATAATTTTGGATCGGTAACAGTTCCAGATTGGTGCTGATTTGTTTTGTGGGCGTAAACCGATTTTGTCCGTTCGGAATCCTGGACAGAAATAAAATTTTAGGGGCGTAAGTAAAACTGAATGGAAAGATAGAATGTTGGGATTTAAACGAGAGCTGATGGATAAGGGGAGACAAGAAACGGATAGAGACCGTGGCTTTCAAAATATTCAAAGAGGAATTCAGATAAGTCGGTAAGTCTAAAAACGCCCATTTTTTTTTAAATATTTAGTGGGAAAGTTGAGGACTAAAGCCTGAAGCAAAGTTTAATACTGGCAAGAGCGGCACATTGATACACGGCATGTTCAATAGGTCTGTTCAATTAGAAACTCAGTTAGAAGATTTTGTTGATAACAAGTCTACCGTATGTCCACGGTGGGCTTCCTTGGACTATTTTGAAAGCTGATAACATACTAAAGAACACTACATTCCCAGATTTTCTCTCACGAGTGTTCTGCAATTTTTTAGGGATTCCTGCCAAAAAAGCATCACTTGTTACCAGACATTATTTTTAGCAACTTCAGATTAAAGTTGACGTTTCTTGTTCATTAAAGATTGATCATCCATTATTTTGGTGCCCTTGACTTACCTCCTTCGAAACGATCCCCGCCAACATCGATACGTTTCTGACAATTTCGCATCAATTACAAGAAACTCGTTTTGAACTCCTTGGGGTGGATTGCTTGCAACTCCGTGAAATAATTCTCCTCAATCTCTGCTATCGTGTCAAAGTGCGGATAGTTTTCATGTTTTCAAACCTAAATCAGTGTGAAAAGGCCTATGATTTTGAAAAATAGCAGAAATTGAGGAGAGTTATTTCATGGAGCTGCATGACATCCATCCCAACGAGTTCAAAATGAGTTATTTTGCGATTGAAGCAAAACTGGTAGAATACATCGAATGCGACGGGGATCGTTTCGAAGGAGGTAAGTCAGGGACACCAAAATTATCAGTAATAAATCTTTAATGAACCAAGAATGTTAACTTCAATTTGAATTAGCTGCTAAAAACAATGTCGAAGAACAAGAAATTGCTGTTTGGCGGATTCCTAAAAAAGTCGCAGAACACTCGTGAGGTTTGCTTACTTCGAAACGTGCACCAAGAAACCGAATTTGAATTTATCAAATCTGTGAATATAGTATTCTTTAATATGGTACCATCTTTCAAGAATGTTCAAGAAAATTAAATTTGGACGCATGGTTGATTAATTATTACCAAAATCCTGTTTCTAATTGAACAGACCTCGTAGGAGTTCGAACTTAGTAAAACTTAGCACATCGGGTTTCAAAGTGGACTCTCCCTTCACTTAGAATTTTTTCTTTCTTTTCCTAAAATTCGAGGATCTATTATTAGACACGGATGCATTGGACAACTTTGCCTAGTATCAGAGATGCATGAAATCAGATAAGACAACATTGCTATACGAGTGTTCGGCAAGTTTAATGTATTCCTAGCCAACAACAAGTTGACACTATATCTGCTGAAGCGGACTGACTACTGAAGTATTTTATTGAGATAATCGAATTTTAAGATCTAATAACGAAATCTAATCTGTGATGCATACTTAGTATGATTACAGAAGCATAGCTTCTATCCTCATGGTCATGTTTCGAAAGACAGAAGACATTGTTAATAATTTTCTGACATGTAGGAACCTGGCTTCATACTTTAAAGGCAAGAGATGGGAGGGATGGCTCAGCCTAACTTTCCTATTTAGAAACGATTGTAAATAGTGATTTGCGAAAATTGAGATATTCATCATTTACGACTAAATTCCTCCTACCTCTTAAAAAAGGTAAATTACACGATGTAGACTTTGACCGATTGTCACTGGAACAATTTACTATATCAACTTATTCATTGAATCTATATCGGCTGATCAAAGGTAAAAATAACATGTCCGTTTGAAGGAATAAAAAAAAACCAAAGACAAAACCACGCAACTCGTTTGCGGTTTTTTTCAAAGTCTCCGATCCTATCTAATGTTTCTTAAAGGAAATATAAGGAAGTTTTAAAAAACAAAAGTACGACAGCAAGTCTGCAACGTCGCAAACTGAGTTAGGTTGTTAGGAAATTTTTCAACAGCGAAATACTTCATTTCATAGACACATTTTGCGCGTACCGCGAGAGTAGCTGACCACTCAAGTGATTCGAGTATGAAAAAAGAATTGAATACTAAAGAAAAAAAAAATTGAAATATCCTTTGAATTTTCTTTCCTGAAAAATAAGATACTTCTAATCTGTACAGTACTGAAAACATATTTTATCTTCTATCATTTTTATCTCATTTTTATCATATTTTAACACATTTCATACATATGTATGTGTATTACCCCCCCGCTTTCGGAATTGACTATTTCGCGAAAATCCGTGAACGAGCTGCCTTGTCCGTCGACGGACGGATGAAATGAAACCGATTTCCGCAAAACGGAGCAGCAGGCGAGTAATCAGGACCATCGATATCGATATCCAAGGGTATTTTGACACGAGAAAAACATTTACTGTTAGATTTTTAAGAAAACCAAAATTTCCAAAGTGGCCGCCGGTTAAATTTCAAAATGATCGGAGGTTTTTTTTTTTTTTTTTTTTTTTTTTTTTTTTTTTGGGAAATCTAATATTAAAAATGTTAAGCTCACACCAAAGTACCCGCAAGTCCCAGTTTTCAGCAAAAAACCGAGTTTGCAATTTTTGTCCATTTTGAACCTCTATCAGCCGCCATTTTGACAATTTTGGTTTTTACGAAAATCTAACGTCAAATTCGTTTTTCTCATGACAAAATACCCTGAGATACCTATTTTCGCGCAAATTCTTTGACCAACAACCGGTGTCAATTTTCAGCCATAATGAACTTTAACTGGCCTCCATTTTGAAACGGTTTGAAATAGGTATTGACTTCGGGTTGACGCAGGAAGTTTTCTTTTTTTATGTTCTGTCAAACGAGGTACCACAAAGGGAGTCTTCCCATTTGGAAAAAAAACTGAGGTCCATTGCTCCCTTAAGGGGCCCCCCTGAAAATTATAGGGGGGCTCAAACGTAGCTCCCTTTGACCTAAGAATGTCCCCCAAGTTTCAAATCTTTACCTCAATCAGGTAAAAAGTTAGAGGGGAATGAAGGAACTTTTGGATCACCCTGTATATTTCCCTGCCAAAAACTCAAAGTCGAGAAAAGTAAATAGTCTTTGTTAAGAGGGCTTAAAGTTCATTTTCTAGATTGAGTCTTATGAAGGAAAAAAACTTCAAACCTCTTCTTTTCAATTTCAACTTTGTGTGGGTTAGTTCCTTTCTGTTAAACTTGGTCCATGTGTACCTAGGCATTAAGATTTATGGAAGGTAATGGACTTACCCTGCTTTTGACCTTGAATGCTAACTGGACCTTTAAGCAAGTCCTTGACCCCCACAAAGTCAAGGTCAAACTACTGGCATGTATATAATAGTAGATAAATATTATTAAGATATTTGCATTGTTGCCAATTCACAGCAAGAGGAGTAGCTCATCTGACCGACTCCAATCCAATCAAAAACAGAAATATTCTCAATACCTATAAATAAACTAACAACAATGAGCGATTCTAGTATGGGTGATTGAGATCGGTTTATGGTAAAACTAGAGTCCGGCTTTCGATATGGGCCGAGTAGAAAACTGAGATCTCAATTTACCAGAATCTACATATGTCAGCGCAGTTGTAATAAGTATTTGATGTACACTTCATATCATGCAAAGAAGACCCGTTAGGTTTCAAAACAACACAAATAAACTCAATATAATCCGCTACGAGATTGGTTAACAATCTGATAATAACGATTATGCTCCACTCCGACCCCGAACCCGTCAATTTTTAACATGTAGTCGTTGTGACGTGACAATTATAACATATGAATGATATTTTGCAAAATACGAGGTCTGTTAGAATATAAACCGGATTTTGGTGATAAATAGCCCATTGTGCATTGAATTCGGTTTCTAGGGATTTTCCTGAAAGCCGATAACATACTAAGGAACACTACGTTCACAGCTTTACTTAGAATATCATTCTTGATTAGTAATCATCTGAAAAGGCATGAGCAATCAGAGGCGTTTTGCCATGTGTAGGTATTTTTACCTAGAAAAAAATAACATTGAAAAAGTAAACATCGTTTTTAAACAACATTTCAACACCCTAAAGCTCTTTAATCGGAAAAGGATTTGCTCTAAGTATGATACATTTTTCGACCAAACCCTATTCGCTGCATGGACATTTGAGTAAGTACACAGCTTTGATAACTTGAAAGCAATATTCTTAATACATGAAAACTCCAACATATATTGTTTACACATATTGACGGTGGAAGTTGTTGAAAGAATGCAGAAAAATCAAACATTAAATATTTTGTACAAAATTGACGATAAGACCAATTTAAATGTGACCAGACAATTGCAATGTCAATGACAGAGATACAAAGTTAGTGCTTTAATCACGATTAATAGAGGGCCATGACAGGGGTGAGTTCCAGAGGAGGATTTCCTGGTACGGCAGACCACCATAGCGGAACTTTGCATAAGACCCTCTGAAAGCCAGAGAATCCTTCCCTCCAAAAGCACCAAGCATCCATCGAAAAGTGAAGTTAAGCCAATAGTTGAATGATACACTGTACCATGGCTAAATTATTGAAAACTCATCACATTTTTCATGTTTTCCAACCATTATTGAAAAAAAACAAGCTTGTCTCTCTGCTTTGGAGGTAGACAAGACTGATTTAAGGCATATATTTGTGATGTTCCTTAACTGAAAGTAACAGTTACTTAGTTGTGAGGATCCTACATGAGATTGCAACACAAGTGACTGCTCACACCTCAAAGATTTTTACATTGGCTGTGACAGATATAGGACTCATCCCTAACATCGGGAAAGTTCTTTCCTTTCTGGTCACTTCTAAGTGACCAGACGCACGCTTAGTGAGATACAGAAAAACTCTATTTACAAGATTTAGTGTCACTGCCTGAGAGGCCAGTGTCTTTGCTATAAAGGGGCTAGTGGAGGGTTTCTACAAGTCTAAGGACAAATTACATAATAAATTCCACTTAAATGTTCAGGACCTACATGGTTCTTGCAGATGTAGACTGGAGTCCATGCCAAATAAGTTTACGCGCGTTTAGAATGCGAGTGATGATTGTATGATTGTTGATGATTGTTGTGTGTTGTTGTGTTGAGTGTTGTTGTTTGTCATTTTAGCATGGAAAGTAAATGCAAGATTTGTAGTGGCAGATATTTTTTTATGGAACCGTCTCAAGGCAATCTACCGACTAACGTATTTGGCACATGTCGCAGTCTTGAAGTGTGTAAACTTATTTCGCACAGACTTAAATCAAGAGGAAACAATACTTACAAGAATGTAGAAGAACGTGATTGAACAAGAGAAACTTCGAAATAAGGATGGTGCTGGCTGACTTTGACTGATCAAGTATCGAGGAGCTCTGAGGCTAACGTGTTCTCTCTCAGCTCCACCAACATTATACTGCAAGCCAGAAGAGAGTACTTGATGCGGGGTGGTTTACTAATCAACTGTAACGACTAACAAAATAAATGTGAAAATTAATCGCGACTTCCAATGTAACTTCTGAACTTGGTAAATGTGGTAAGGTCTAAGGTAAAAAGAAAAAATTCGTACAGAACTTCGCTTATCTTCGGAAGAAAAGGGTTATGTTTATATTCTGTGAATTAGTCTGGTACTAATTCCGGTAGGTAGCAATAGTGTCGCCGTTGCAATGCAGAACTTTATGAGCTTTTCCGCCTTTACCAATTCCACTCACTCAGGTTCTAGTTCCGATCTCTGAAGTTTGTGTACCGAGTTTGGTAATTTTTTCTTAGTTTCAGTAAGTGTTTTCAAGCCGCACAGAATACAGTCGAGACGGTTTCAGAATCTGAAACGGAGCTCATTCGAACGGTGTCTGTGGTTGAACTCTCTCGGCGTGAGTTCTGTGAGTGAGTCTGTGACTTTGACTTTCAATTTAGTGAAATTCGGTAGTTATTGACTTCCCGGCTTCCAGTGTGTCAAACCGTTAACCGTTACCGATCAATTACTGCAACAGGATATTATCAGCCCAGCACATCTGCAATACAGTGAGTATGATGAGTCTCTCAGAGCATCCTCTTAGCGTCTTCATATGAGGAGTTAGACTCTTTTCAAATTTCTCTCAAGTGGAGCATATCCTTTTTCTGCCCGGCAAGATTTTTCTTGGGCTTTTACCACATTTTTTTTCTTTTTGTTTGTCCACCTAGTTTTCAAATCTCATGCTTATTACCCCAGCTCCACGTTGCCACTGTCTGAGACCACCAAACTCAGGTCACCTGTAGCCCGACCACAGACCTCTCGCTACCATCGATATTGATAGAACTAGGACCTTTCGAAGGCGACCACAGACCTTGGTCTATAGAAACGGCCTTTGGAAGGCTGTTTCATTACTCATTGGTCGATGGAACTGCTCGATTCCATCGAAATTGAGGTTAGGGTTCTTCTTCTGCTTACGTGCACCTCACTCGTCGGCCATTGAAGTATGAAGTTAATTTGGTTCAAGTTATCGGTTGAAACCGAAAATTTGAGGTTAGTGTATCCCCCGCCATTAATGTTTACCTACCTACTTCTTCTACTTCAATGAATACATCAAGGATGGTGACTGGTTGAGAACAATTTCCTCTTTTTCAGTTAATCGTTCAACATCGCACACATTCCATCGCCTTTCCATCACGGTCTGGGTTGTAGAAATTCTAGCGAAGGAACTGCTATGGAACTAACTCACACTTCTATTGCTAGGAGCTATAGAAGTCTGTGGTTGGGCTGCTAGCCGGGGATCAAACCCGGGACCTTTTGGTCATAGAACCAGTGCTACAACCACTACACCACAGGAGGCCCAGATCTTAAGAGCATCGCCTCACTAACACTCTGTATGCATGATCCAGGGTTGCCACAGTCAGGGAATTCAGGGAAATCCTGGGAAAGTCAGGGGG